AATTCTACTTCTAAAACTCCTCACCAACTCCTCAAAATAACATTTCCTTGTATTGCCTTTAATAATAGAGCACCCCAAGTAAGTGAATGGACAGTTCTTGATAGGAATTCCAACCATAGAAACCAGGATATTCCTTCTGATTAAAGGAATCCTTTTAGAACAATACATGACACTTTTCAACTTGTTTACCCTCTGACCAGAGCAAAACTCATATAGGCCAATAAACTTCAACACATTCAACACAGACCTCTTATTACCTCTAAGAAATACCAAGGTATCATCAGCAAATAACAAATGACTCACCAGTGTTGTCCCTCTACCAATTTGAAAGTGAGTCACCAACTTCTGCTGATAAATGCTTTTTAATCCCCTACTTAGTACCTCCTCAGCTACAATGAACAAGGTGGGAGAAAGAGGATCCCATGCCTTAATCCCCTAAAATTAGCAAAATAACCATACCTCTGTCCATTTAAGCAAATAGAAAAGAATTGAATGCTCAATAAGATTTGAGTGAACAAGCTTGAAAAACCAAAACTACTCAACACTTACAAGAGAAAATCTCATTTCAACCTATCATAGGCCTTCATCATATCCAATTTCATCACCAAGTTTCCACCTTCCACCTTCATGTCCATTTCCCCAACTAACAGATGTCCCAATGCCACATAATCACCAATGCCTCTTCCTTGTACAAAGCCATGTTGCACCTCAAAGATCAGCACAGGAAACAAAGAAGAGAGCCTAGNCCACCTTCATATCCATTTCCCCAACTAACAGATGTCCCAATGCCACATAATCACCAATGCCTCTTCCNCATGTCCATTTCCCCAACTAACAGATGTCCCAATGCCACATAATCACCAATGCCTCTTCCTTGTACAAAGCCATGTTGCACCTCAAAGATCAGCACAGGAAACAAAGAAGAGAGCCTAGTATTAATTAGCTTAGTAAAAATATTGTATAAGAAATTACATAAGCTAATAGGCCTAAAATCAGAAAAAGAAATAGGAGCATCTTTCTTGGGAATTAAAACCAATAAAGTAGAGTTCACTAATTTAGGCATTACACCACCTTTCAGCAAAAAATTCACATCATTCCATACATCTATCTTAATGACCTCNAGCATCTTTCTTGGGAATTAAAACCAATAAAGTAGAGTTCACTAATTTAGGCATCACACCACCTTTCAGCAAAAAATTCACATCATTCCATACATCTATCTTAATGACCTCCCAAGCAAACTGAAAAAAAATTGTCAGACAAACTATCTGGCCCAGGGGCACTCTTAGTTGCCATGGAGAACACCACATCTTTCACCTCCTCTAAAGAAGCTTCAGTAGTAAGCCTTTCATTTTCCTCATGACTAACCAACTTAGGAATAACAAAAAACACATGATCCTGAATAATATGCTCCTTTGACTTATAAAGATCAACATAGAACTGCTCTGCTACCTCTAACTATTTCCTGGTCACCATGAACCCAAATTCCTTCCTTGTTTTGAATTCTAGAAACTTTATTTCTGGTAACTTTACTTTTAGCAATAGCACGATAAAACTTGTTATTCCTCTCCCTTTGCATAGCCCATGTGACGTTGTTCCAATAAATTTCCTCTTTCAACAAATCATCCAGTTCACATTTATAACCTTCAAGTTCCAAGGCTTTAGGAACACTAAAATTTTGGTCTAAGTTCAACTCAGCCAACTTAATTTTCTGCTCCTGAGCTCTAATATTCTCAAACAAATTTCCAAACACCTCTTTGTTCCAAAGCTTCGTATGTGCCTTCAAATACTTCAGCTAAATAAACAAATTAGACATAGGATTTTCAGAATAATGGCCACTCCAATTAGTTGCAATCAAATCCAAAAATCCCTCATGATCACACCACATGTCCTAAAATCTAAAGTATGATATCCTCTTATGAGCTGGAGTATCCATAATTCTCAGAAGTAAAGGACTGTGATCAAAAGTATCTCTCGCCATGTGTACAACCTCTAGACTTTCATACCTCAGGTTCCAAGTTGCATTTATCAAGGCTCTGTCTAACCTTTGAATCATTCTCACATGCCCTTGTCTGTCATCACAACATGTATACTTATTTCCACTAAAACCACTATCCATCAAACCCCTCTGGTCCAGAAAATCCCCAATTCCCCCATTGCTATTAAAGAAGGGAAATCACCCCCTCTTCTTTCCTCAGAGCTTAGGATTGAGTTGAAATCCTCAACTACAACCCAAGGCAAGACTGAAGGAACCTCAATATCAATCAAGTGATTCCACAATGACCTTTTGGGAACATGGTCACAACTAGTATAAACCACAAAAATCCAAAAACTTTCGGTGGTCATAAAGGTGGAATCACTTATCGTACGCAAATTGAAAATATAATTAATGATCTACATCAATTTTAAACTTTTTTTTATCATTTGGTTGGTAAAGCATGGTCAATAAGTTCATTTTTAACAAAAANTTGTACGCAAATTGAAAATATAATTAATGATCTACGTCAATTTTAAACTTTTTTTTTTATCATTTGGTTGGTAAAGCATGGTCAATAAGTTCATTTTTAACAAAAATTATCTTAATTTAATATATCTATTAGATTAACTATAATTTATGAGTTTTAATGTTAGGTAGAATTTATTTTTAATTCAATAAGAGTGTCAGTGTCAGTGTCATGTGGTTCAAGAAAGAGTAATCCAATCATTAAATGCCCCAAAGGGTTGTTTATTTATACAAATGTTTCCTCCATCTTAAGCAATTCGTTGTTCCGAACAATTATTTGTTGGGACAAATGTTTCCTGCAGCATTAGGGATTTCTTAAACTTCGTATCATTTGGGATCAAGCCAACTATGTGCACTACCTCTTTAGATATATGCATATCTCAACTTCCCATTAATTTATGATCTCGAAGGAACTATCCTACCAAAAATTTTAAGGCAAAATCTCACATTGCATCCTAAAAAGATACCAAAATTTTCAATTTACAACATGAAAGTTTGACTTTCTCATATTACGCCTTAAATCATGCAAATATATTGCAATGTAATCTATCAACAAAAGGCCGTTTAAAATCCCATCTATTTTCAGGACACATGAGCAACACAAGGAACATGGAGGACATTAGTGTAATTAAACATAGATGCAGATCTGGGTATGGACATGGAGAGAGACGGAAGATATCAAACGACACTCTTTCCTGAATTTCTTTGCTCCAATAGCAACCCACAACCACCGCCAAAACGCACAACCACCGAAACCCACAACAACCACCACCACCGAGATCCATAACATGAACAAATTTGTCGATCCAGATTTGCGTTGTGAACAGATTAAGAGATAAGCACATATTTGACGAACCCANCCAAGGAACTATCCTACCAAAAATTTTAAGGCAAAATCTCACATTGCATCCTAAAAAGATACCAAAATTTTCAATTTACAACTTGAAAGTTTGACTTTCTCATATTACGCCTTAAATCATGCAAATATATTGCAATGTAATCTATCAACAAACGGCCGTTTAAATCCCATCTATTTTCAGGACACATGAGCAACACAAGAAATATGGAGGACATTAGTGTAAATAAACATAGATGGAGATCTGGGTATGGACATGGAGAGAGACAGAAGATATCAAACGACATTCTTTCTTGAATTTCTTTGCTCTAACGGGTACCCATTTCTCCATATGTGTTCATTTACACTAATGCCCTCCATATTCCTTGGGCTGTTCACGTGCGCCAAAAACATTCAGGATTTTAATTAATCGTTTGTTGATGGACCATATTGCAACATATTTACATAATTTAGGGTGTTATGTGGTAAAATCAAACTTTCAAAATACAAATTGAGAAGTTTGGGCCGTGTTTGGTTTGTATCTCAAAAAATAATATCTAAAAACTATTTTTGAGAAGAGTTTTAAGAAAGTATTTTCTAAAATTTTTAGATTATAAAACCTGTTTGATTATATATTTTTGAAAATAATTTTAAAGAACAAAAATTATAAAATTTGTTTAGACAATAATTCACAATTCTCATCTCTCTTCGTCTCTCTCTTTCACTATGCATCAAGACCACCACCAAAACCACCACAATCGACAGCCACCACCAACCCACAACCACCGCCGAAACCCACAACCACCGAAACCCACAACAACCACCACCACCGAGATCCATAACATGAACAAATTTGTTGATCCAGATTTGCGTTGTGAACAGATTAAGAGATAAGCACATATTTGACGAACCCAACCTTTGGTATACGATGAAGAAGACGAATCCAGTTGTCGAAGAAGACCTAGTTGCCAGAGAAGATTTAATTGCCGGAGAAGACCCTGAAGCAACCCAGATCTGCGTTAGTTGAGACTTTATTATTTTTTTTTATTTTTTATCATGAGACCGAATTACTTGACAAATTATTGTATCAATAAATTAGATTAAATTTTTATGTCATAATAACATTAACTTATTGAGTTATAATTTCATTTTGTGTTCTTGATTGAGATATCATCGACCCTTAATTTATAGAAACTTTGCCATGGTACTAAAAATATTTTTCAATCCTCTTATTTTTTGTTTTTCGTATAGTGGTTAGGTTGTTNCCGAATTACTTGACAAATTATTGTATCAATAAATTAGATTAAATTTTTATGTCATAATAACATTATCTTATTGAGTTATAATTTCATTTTGTGTACTTGATTGAGATATCATCGACCCTTAATTTATAGAAACTTTGCCATGGTACTAAAAATATTTTTCAATCCTCTTATTTTTTGTTTTTCGTATAGTGGTTAGGTTGTTTAAATCAATTGACGTGTCCTCCTTAAAAGTGTGACTCACTTTAAGACTTGAAGGCTATCCTACTTTCCTACATATTATTAAGAAAAGAGAGCACACAACACAGGCCACACATTCATTACCAACTCCCACACCAANATTGACGTGTACTCCTTAAAAGTGTGACTCACTTTAAGACTTGAAGGCTATCCTACTTTCCTACATATTATCTAAGAAAAGAGAGCACACAACACAGGCCACACATTCATTACCAACTCCCACACCAAGAGAGAAAAACCAAACCTCATTTCAAGCAACAAGAAATGGTGGCCCTGATTAAGCTAATAGACACAGTTCTCTTAGCCTTCTTAACGGTGGTTGCAGTGGCGGCTCCACTTGACGTAGGACTCTGCCTCAGCCCCAAAATCCAACCGGATTTTCTCCTCCGCCTTCAGTTTTTGTACACCCGAAAGTACGGTGAATACTTGGCCACACAGAGGCCTGGTTTCTTTGTTGCACTGGTGTGGCTTGAGGTTTTGTTCATGTGGCCGCTAGCGGTGTTGAATCTCTACGGCAATCTTGGTGGGAGGCGGTGGTTCAACGCCACCAGCTCTGTCTTTGGTGCCTCTTATTGCACCGCAATGGTAAGTGGGTAACTACTTTCATTTAATCTTTGAATTTCCTTCTTCTATATATGTAACATAGATCTATATGGAACATAAAAAGGAAAATATACTACCATGGAGCCTATCTAGGATCTACCTTTACCTTTTTTTTTTGGTTCAACGGTCAGTTGTGTCGGTATTAATTTATGCACAATTCATCTAATTTTCTTATCAGTTTGGTCAAATGCAAACCATCCATGCTAGATATTCATGAGCATAAATTGGCCCCAAAGAGTTACCGTGATTTGAATTCAGGTCGTCCAAATTTACAATTCCTCCAAATTTACTACTCGTCCTCATTAACGATTAAGTGAAGCCCTTAAAATCTGGACTGCTCACCATGAAAGTCTTGATTAGTGAAGCCCTTAAAACCTAAACTGCTTACCATGAAAGTCTTGATTAGTCACATGACTGAATCATGTGGCTTACTTAAGTGTGCTAGATCTATTGTTTTGCTTACTATGAAGCTAAGATGGCTTTCAATAATTATGTTTGATCTCTTTTGATGATGCACAAAATTGTCTTGTGCAAGATCAACAGTCAAGAAGGTGAATAGGTGCAATCAATGAGCAACAAGCAATTAATGGCAAAAATAGTAATTAAGAACTCAGAGATTTATAGTGGTTCAGTATCGGATGACCTACTCCACTTTTGGGAATGGCAGCCGTGGCCGGTGTTCTTTATTGATGAGTGATGGTACTCCGGAAAGTTACAGTACTTTGAGAGAGAATAAGAGAGAACAGTGTGTATAAGAGTGGGTGTAGAGGTCTTGGAGGTCTTGNTAGTAATTAAGAACTCAGAGATTTATAGTGGTTCAGTATCGGATGACCTACTCCACTTTTGGGAATGACAGCCGTGGCCGGTGTTCTTTATTGATGAGTGATGGTACTCCGGAAAGTTACAGTACTTTGAGGGAGAATAAGAGAGAACAGTGTGTATAAGAGTGGGTGTAGAGGTCTTGGAGGTCTTGCTCTCAATGTTGAGAGGGCTGATATTATATAGCTAGGGTAAGGTAACAGAGACGGTGACGTGAGGGAGAAGAATTCTATTATTTTGGCAAGTATTGTTATAGTAGGAGATCTTCTATGTCAATTTTCATATTATCTTCCCTCGTGCTTCTATTCATCCGGAGGAGAACATTAATTGGATTNGAGTAAGGTAACAGAGACGGTGACGTGAGGGAGAAGAATTCTATTATTTTGGCAAGTATTGTTATAGTAGGAGATCTTCTATGTCAATCTTCATATTATCTTCCCTCGTGCTTCTATTCATCCGGAGGAGAACATTAATTGGATTGAGCTTGACCCTCGTCTTGGACTTGGACTTGTCTTGAGTAGGCTTGGCTTGGACTCGGATTGAAGTACCAAGGTGAATAGGAACAAGAAAAAACGGAGGTCGAAGGAGAGGAGAGAACCAGCATGGGTGGTGCCCCCTTTGGGGATCCTTGGGCGTTGGCCCCTTGACTCCCTTAGGCATTGTCCTCTTGATGTCCCTTTTGGTGCTTTGGACTCNATAGGAACAAGAAAAAACGGAGGTCGAAGGAGAGGAGAGAACCAGCATGGGTGGTGCCCCCTTTGGGGATCCTTGGGCGTTGACCCCTTGACTCCCTTAGGCATTGTCCTCTTGATGTCCCTTTTGGTGCTTTGGACTCCCTTTAGATGGGTCGACCCAAGTTCAGTTGGACTCTTATTTGAGCTTTCTTGGTTTATTTTTATTGGGCCTGATCCAGTTAAATTCGGGCTCATCACCTTTAACACAAATTAACATAATTTCTGTCAATGATTATCGGTCCGGAATTCAACTGAGACAGGTACTATGTATGTTTCAGATTGCTGTAGGAACAGAACTGATGTATTCCCATAGTGTGTCGAACAGCCTATTAATGGCACATTTTCTCTTCATTGGTTGCGGTGTTTTAGCTATTCTGCGCAGCCTGCTACCAAACGCTGGTAAGACGCTAGCAACCGGAAGAACAATTGAATTGAGTGGGAAAAAGAAGGCTTGAAGTAGGTACAACTGTTGGAAAATTTGTGTAGATTTCAATGAACTCAAAATTCAAAACTAAACCTGGTTTATTGGGGCGTTTTCAGTACTCTGCTTTGAGACAGACTGGAAATTCAAAACTAACGCTGGTTTGGGTGTAAGCTGTTAGAATTGTCACTAAAGCAGGGTGAATTGTTGAGCCATCAGTATGTTTTATACATTGAAGAATAAGGCCAAGTTTCAATTGTTATGCTCATTTCATAACTGTATGGTGATGTGATGCTTTGGATGCATAGTTCTTGTAAATGGTTGCATTTCAGAAGCATAACATTTTATGAATAAATGGGATCTATATTTGTATGACTGATTCAAACCCGTATTAAATGTGTTATGAAATTGATTGTTATTGAAAAATTTTGTTAGATCACTTGTACTTTATCTCAACTAGTAGCATGGTCAAGATAATTGTGAAGAATGAAGATCAAAACAAGGTGTGAGGAAGAAGCTCAAACTACATTGCAATATGTGAAAACTTCTTGTAATCTATCTAGTTTAGGTTAGGTATGAGACCTAGACGCCTCGTTGCCTTCGATTTGTTTAACTTGGTGATTAAATTGGATTTATATGTTTTAGGTTGAAAATATGTGGACTGATTTTTATTGTGTGGGCCAATATGTGAACACAATAAATATTCATGCCGGGATTAGGACTGCAAGGGGTTGACAAGATTCAAATTCAGAATGTTTGAATTTACAATTCGTCCGTATTATCCCTTGTGATTAATGTCCCACATTCCTATCCGAACTTGAGTATTTTTCGTAACACAAATATACAATTACAAGTTTCTATAGTTGTTACAATAGTAAGTGATGTGAATGAGAGTTACAAAATAAATGACGACCCAAAATAGCATACCAACTAAGTTTATTTCCATTGCACACAATGTATCTGAAAATATATCATATTGTATATACTTGTATTACGTACCAAATCAACCAACTATTTAAGTAACTTTAGGTTGAATCATAAAAACCATGGGAGCTCGAAGACTATGTACCTTGGGCCCTATTCGAAGGGAGTAGTCATTCCTTTTGGCGCAATATTTGTTTATGTCTTTACACAGAAAGTTTCATGCAGTTCGATGGAACTGCAGTGCGTGCTTCCACAGTCGCAGCTGAAACCACTCTTTTCTCATCAAACAAAGGCGAAGAGCATCTACAAAAGGAAGAAACGAGACGACCCGAATCACCATATCCACGGGAAGCTTGGAGAATCCATCACCATGGGAGGCCATGAAGCAAAGCTCGATTTGAATGAGGGAAAAAATGAATGAGAAAACTGAAGAATTGAAGAGAAGAGCAAGAGAAGAGAGATTTTTTTACAAAGTGTAGAGTTTGTAGACTGGAGTTTTAACCTGTAAGTACAGAAGAAGCACAACTGGGTTGAAGCTGACTGTGATGCAAAATAAAACATTGCATCTGAGGAAAGTTTAAGGATAAAATTGATTACTTATACTTGGTAAGTTAGTAATTATTATTCAACAAATAGTAATTCAATAATTAGTATTTTAACTTACCAACTTTCTAATCAATCAGTTTTATGGAAACAAATTCCATTGTAGTATTTGACGATGGAGAAGTTGACACACCGTGAAAAGACCATTTAGTCCAAGTTCACCTTAGCTCCGAGTAAGGCAATTGAATTCTTATTTGGGTTAATTTCACATTATACTCCAAAAGATTGTTTGAATATTAATTTGTATCTTCAAAGATAAGAATTTTAATTTGCACCCTTAAAAGTAGAAATTTGTATCAATGTGTACCTCAAGTTATCGGTCGTCAATTTGTCGTCTAAAACTAAACGGATAAATTACATATATATTTTTTCATGCTTGTCACTTAATTACTTTGACCCCTCACATTAGAAATATTACACTTACATTTCTTGAGAATCTAAATATGACTAAAAAATTTCTCTCAATTGGGCATTCAAATAATTATGTTTAAGTGATGTATTGCATTGAATAAAAAAAATATTATATAAATACCTGCATTATATTGAACATTCAAATAATAAGTTTGATTTGAAGTTTAGGGTATAATGGGTCTACAAAATAAATGGTAGTATGAAATTATAATTTTTTCTTAGGATGAAATCATATTTTTTAACGGTTATATTAACAGATATTCACAACAAAGGGTTATGTGTTACATGTACACAAACGATAGGAGATATAATAGTAATATTCTAAATGTGAGGGAATCTAAATGATTAAATGATAAGAATGAGGGAACTAAGATGTAATTTATCCATTTAGTTTTAAATGACAAAGTGAGACTGTTAGTTTCAAGTGTACATTAATACAAATTTTTATCTTTGAGGGTGCATATTAAGATTTTTTATTTTTCGGGATGCAAATTAAGATTCGAACATTCTTTCGGAGTGCAATTTGAGATTAACCCTTCTTAATTTTATATTCTTCCTCTGAAATAGACTTTTTATGACTTAGACGTTGGAGTGTTAGTCATCGGAGCTCTCATTCGGTCTCCAATTTCTTTTTTAAGAATTTGAAGCCAAATGAGTTGACGTGGAGGTCACCTCAAATTTTGGCATCATCAATATTACTATGTTGTGTTTATACACTTTAACGTTCAACATTATTTGCACAAAGAGGTTGCCTCAAATTTGAACCTAACCTTTGGCCATCATAAGGCATCGTAAGTTATTATTCAACTAGTTAATGCTTTTTTACTTCAACCCACCCATGGAATGCACGGGTCGAACAACCCGTTATCTTCTTTTCTTGTCCTTCTGTTTTTCCCCACACTACTACCATTTCCCCCACTACTACCATTTGAAAAGTTCGATAAAAAATCAAGCATCATAGAGATGGGGATTTGCCATTGATCACTACAAAGCAATCAAACTCGAAATTTTAGGGTGGTCTAATGCTTAAGTCTACCACCCTTTTGCAAACAAGAGGTCGTAAGTTTATTATTTCTCACATTTCCTAAAAGTTGTCAGTCATCTTTATTCTTTAGAATACATGTTTTTAAATTAGTTCAAATTACGATGGTTGACTCAGAGTTTGAACGAATAGTTAGCATAACCCTGAATACCTTGTAGTAAAAAAAAAAAACTCGAAATATTAAGAATAACAATCAAACTTGAAGTCTAGAAATACAATTTTAAAATTTGGTAAGTGAAAAAAATATGTGATAAAGTCGTTACTTTGGGGGGGCGCTCTTTGTTGATGTTTTGCTGCAGCAAGTTTCATGCAGCTCGACGAAAATGCTATGCTTCCACAGCCGCAGCTGAAACCACTCTTTTCTCATCAAACAAAGGTGAAAAGCGTCTACAAAAGGAAGAAACGATACGACCTGAATCACCATATCCATGGGAAGCTTAGAGAATCCATCTCCATTGGGGGCCATGAAGCAAAGCTCGATTTGAATGACAGAAAAACCTAATGAGAAAACTGAAGAATACGTTTTGGAGAGAGAAGAGGGATAGAAGCTGCATTGAAGCTGACTCTGATACAGCATATAAACTTTACAACTGTGGAAAGTTTTGAGGACACAAGTTGTTACGTTAGTTATATTTGGTAAGTTAATAATAATAATTATACTTGGGAAAAAAATAGTTAGTAATAATTATTTAGCATTTAGTAACTTAATAACCATTATTTGTTAACTTACCAACTTTCTAGTTAATCAGTTTAAGGAAATAAATTCGATTGGAATATTTACCGCTCAAAATATCTAAATATAATTATCCAATCATAATTTAGCAACTAGAAATTGATAGGGTTAGGATCCGAACCAATTATTTTTATTTAGGATTAAGTATACGGAATATATCCCGTGTAAATATATATTACAATGTATAATAAATAATACAAAATAATGACATCTAGGTGTATGTGGACTTGGACATTATTTGCACAAATTGTCTGCCTCATATTTGAACCTAACCTTTGGCCATTGTTATTAATTTTATATAAACTAGATAGTGCATCACTCAAACACAAACACACATAGAATAACACAGTATAAAAGGGTTAGTGATAGATTTTTCAAAAAGTTGTAGAAAAGTGGTCATTATTACAAGATACACAGACACTTTGATTATTTGAATAGGAGGAGGCATTGTAAGGCCGACCCATACAACTCGACTATTAACTCTGTTCTAAAACCCTTTTGAATGGATCAAGTTAATGACACAATGTATTTCACAAATCTATATAAAGTCTTGTAGAAAACCTTAAAATGTGTTGGACTTGTTTGATCTCGTTTGATCCTCAAATCACTAAACCATTGGAACTAAATCATACAACAACTTTATAAATTATTGATCGAAATCTCATGTGAAATTCCTGTTTTCCCGTGTTGGACTGTCCTGGTGAGGTAGTTTCGATACCTAGGTTAAATGTAATTGTGAGTACAATAATGCAAAATAAGATTATTTGAAATCTGATCAACTAAACTCAATTTTTTTTTTATTAATACTATTTAGACTTAAAAATTTGACCTCATTTATTAACCTAAATTACTGTGATATTTGGATTGATATTGGGCCCATCAACCAGCACTTAAATTGAGTCGTAACTGATCAACAAAAGAGGTTTTGATGAAGCGCACAAGGACAGGTTCCATTCCAACTCTCCCAATATTAGTTTCTCCACGTCTAACACTGCTAGTGGGCGTAAACTCTGTCTGATATACACAGAAAGGCATTAACCTACACATTACAATTCAAAAAAAATTCGGCTTTTTAATGGATAAACCCCACAAGAACCCCAACTATGATAGACATTCAAACAAGTAACAATTTATTCACATAATTAGATAATTTGTTTTCTAGGTGAATTGACAAGGAAATTACAATAAGTCCTCTCAAGATAGACTGTCAGTATATTTTGAGTTGGTCCGAACATCCTTAATTATTGAACTAAAAAAAAAAAATTAAAGAAAGAGTATGAAGTAAAGTAAACTGTGGCCTTGAGCCAGTAATTCATCAGTAAGACTGATTTGAGAAGAGAGTTGACTTGTCATCAAACGCATAAATGTTCCGATTTTGACAGCACAAACTCATTTAGCTAGTATTATAAGAGAAAAATATTTCTATTTTAAAATTTTTTTTATTGGTCGTCGCGAGGACAAGTTATTCATCAAGCCTAGCTGTCTAGCATGTAGTCCACAATGACTTACACAAGCAAGAGACAATTTTTGTACATGTTTGAAGTTGAAGTTGCTTGGAAAATTAAGCATCCCCCCCTAAATATGAACCATCAATATGTTTTGAGCAGTCATAGTCAACACAGCAGTCGAAACTTGTACTCACCTGTGAAAACATGAAAGTGCCAAAAACTGCGAGATGTACTCATCAGCTTCGTTTTACAGATGACAGAAAACAATCCGGGCCGCCAATCACCAAGTTTGAACACAATAATATTCAGAGCCACAAGTTCAAAGATTGTTTTATTATGATATCAACGGAAAGGATTGTAAGGGCTAATAATAATTAACACGATCGGATACGTGAAAATGGGATTATTGAGTAGGGAATTTGGTTTTAATGTGTTTAGATGATCATTATCAGATTGACCCGAAACCCACTTAATATAACAACGTTGACAAGAATTCATACGGCTCAAATCTACCTATAACCTATTGTTTGTCTATGGTTTAGCAAAATTAAATATTATATGACAAAATTTACACAACGATATGAACCCCCGACACTGCTCAAGCAATCATAACGTATCAAAGTTTGACGAACTCATCGTATCCTGCTATATGCATTTAACGTGCGGTATGTGAGATGCCATTTGTATCACACTATGCTTGCAAAAAGGAGGGATGACCGTGATGTTTACGAGTTGCCAGAGCTTCATTTCAATTATTCAGGAACATTAGAGACTTGGATGATTGCTATGCAATGTTGGTGCTGTAATCTAAGATCCTTTTTTTTTTTTCTTATTACAGTCCAAGGTGTCGGGTCAAATTATGTACATTTTAACTAAATATCTCTCGGTTCAGTTCGATTAAAGAAAGATCATCACATCAAAACTAAAAAATTTGTGATAAATAAATCTCTTGTGACCTGCTACAAGAAAATTTCCAAGTTTTGAACTGTAAGATTTTTGTTCAATGAATTTTGATTGTTTCAATCTTTATTCAAAGAAAGCTATGTTTCAAGTTTGAATGTAAGAATACAACTAGTCTTTGTGCACCATCCTCCTTCCTTCGCTACCAAAAAAGTGCTATAAATTTTTATATTTAATTTCATAAAAGACCACTAATTATCAAGCAATTGTACTTATTATACAAAAGAGAGAGAGAGAGAGAGAGAGAGAGAGAGAGAGAGAGAGAGAGAGAGAGAGAGGAGAAAATCAAAATTGCCCTGGTCTGAAACCCAACTTGGGTTTCTAGTGAATAATGTTTCCTGTTTTATTGCCTTGAAAAAGCGAAAGTAAAGAATTAAATAGAAATAACAATGTTTG